AAAAAAAAAAAAAAAAAAACACGTCATAGTAAAAACAATAACTTGCAAAAAGCTAAACAAGCTAAAACAATATTAATTACACGAAAAATATATACTAATTATATTAAAGCCATGATATCTAGATCATTTTAAATAAGTACGTACCTAAACATTATGTAGTTATGTGAAAACATAATTGTAATAGTCAATCACTAAATCTTAGGATCTTTAGTAGATTGTTCAACAACGTATGGTGTAGCGAAAATAAGACTACAAAGACTTCTGATAGTGAACTACCAATATATGTTGCAAAACTCTTAGTATTAATGATAAAATCATCGAGAGACAAGATCCGTTTCAGCACCTAGGAACTTCAACCACTACTACTAAACTGGTTATTCTACGACAATAATTTTTATCAGATAAACCGGTCCTATGGAAACAACCGTTTTCCTTTTTCAAACTTACAAAGTACTAAATGAAAAATTAGAAACTATAAATATACACATTTTTAATGAAGCATTTTTTAACGTTAAATAACATGGTTAATTTATTTATTAACAAAGCCATAGTATAAATTAGTGTTTACATAAAAATCTATAAAAACTATAAGCACGTAGAATATTGAACTGCAGTGTAATTCAAGAATGATATCTAATTATAATACCTTTTATATTATGATAGGTATAAATACAGTTACGAAAATAACATTATTCTTTCACAGAAATACAAAATGGATCTCACTAGTTGTGTGTAAATTTCGCGTAAAATTTTAAAAACTTATTAGCTTTCAAAATCTTAAGACTCGAGATGTATTGAACATCAATGTATATAAAAAATATTATAGACATTTCTTATTGTTATTATAAATTAAGAAATATTAGAAATTTAACACTTGAATGGATGAGATAAAATAATTCAATGAATTTTGATACGGCATTTTTAACCCATCACTACAAGTTATCCATATATACGGAAATAAGTTTTGTAAGTGTAAAAACAACACTAATTATAAACTTTCATGTCAACTTTTTCCAGAAATTTTTTACAGTAAAATGTAACAAGTTATTTCATTTACACTCTTAATAAATATACACCGATTCAAATGTAAATATGAAAAACACTTTTGATTATCAGAGCAATATAGTGAGTTGAGGTAAGTGTGAAAACTTTTTTTTCACTTAATTGGTTATAAATGATTTGTGTACTATACCTTTCTTGAATAATTATATATAATATAAAAACTATCATAGTGCCTGACATCTAAACTAAAAGGTTCAATTATACTAGGGCAAGTGTGAAATTCTATTTAAATTAACTATATTATTTAATTGTTAAAATGTAAACATTTAGAAGATAATAAGTATAATTGTTTAGTTAAAATCATTCACATGAAAAAATGAATATTTTATCATGTACCAAACAGTATCAAATTTTTACTTTTTTAATTTAATAATATAATATTATATTATATATAATACATTTAACAGAGCTACAACAATAAAAATTTAAACATGTGAAAGAGGATAGAATAACATTTCTTTTAATGAATAATCATAAGTTTTATCATATCCAAATATGTAAAAGACATATTTACCCTGAAATTACATTTCACCATAATCAGGCATCATGAACCTTATACATTTTTTTTTATTAAATATTACTTATTACATTCGAAAATTACCATCTTTGTGATCTTTCATATAGGTCTTCCAATGCCTTAACCAGAAATATATTTCCAAACATGATAAGTTGAAACAAACTACTTATTATTCAATTATTTTATATTTTAAATAATTAAAACACTTAAACATTTATTTAATATAAAAAAACATAAAATGTACATATTTAATAGTTTTTAAATCTAAGCATAATTTTAATGGTAATTATACTTTAATCATAAATTTTACATTAAATAATTTTATATTTGTATACTAAAAGATAATTTACATTTTAAATTTAATAAAATATATCTAATTAAAAAATTATATTTCTAATTGGTAGTTATATATATATGCACACTATGTATATTTTAGGTAGATTTAAAATATGTAACACAATGTTAACTCATAACATGTCATAAAAAATATCTGAAGTCTTTAGACTTAAATATTAACCAAGCTTTTAAAACATTATTCATTGAACAAATCAATAAAATTGGAAGTCTAAAACTTAACACTATCATAAATATGCCCAAAAATAAAATGTCATGTTACTTAAAATCAATATTTAACAGAGAAAAGCAAGTAATATATATTTTTTATTTTTACATTCGTAGGCTAAAAATCTACTACTAAAATTTTTAAAATAGATTATGCATAATCTAATAAAAAAATGTATCTTAATTTTTGAAAAATAAAACCTATCTTTATTAAGTTAGTAGATAATGTTAAAAATTAAAATAAATGTTAAACTCACATCTTAAACTAGACAGCCATTCAAAGATTATTTACATTTTCAAAAAAAAAAAAAACATTAAGGTGGTACACTTAAAAATTCATAAATTAAGACATTGAACTACACGTTAGACGTGGTGATCCCATTTGAGTAAGAACCCTGTCTAACCATTGTAATGGTCCATTTAGGTGTAATTCTATCCAGCATGGTGTAGAAGTAACAGTTTGTCGTCTAAGAACATACATTTAATTTAATTAGTTTAAAAAGTTTATAACTATTGAAATGAAATATTAAAAAAATTTAAATAACCTGTATTCTGCTCCCCAGCCCTTAACAAAAGACATACGTATGGTGCACATTCGAGTAAGTTGATAAACTGCTTCAAATCCTTGACTAACAGATTGTGAAAGGAGTGATGCAAATTCTTGGTTGTTAAAAATTTTTAAGTTACACCCTACACATTTTTATATTAATAATTTTAATAATTAAGGTAAAATTGTATTAGTCAAATTTATATTAATAAATTAAGTATATATATATTACATTACAGTTTTAATTGAGGAATAAGATTGAAATTATATCTATCATATTCAATAAATGTATTAAGTTAACTGTGTCCTTTTCCATTAATGTATCTTAAATATTGATAATGTACTCATCATAAAATAAGCAGTCCCTACGTTTGTTAAAAAAATAATTTTTAAACCTATTTCTACATAAACTATTACACTTCTAGAAACATACATAACCAACTAAAAATATTTTATAAAGTTTGGAAAACTCATATAAATAGTGTTCTATAATGTTTATCAGAAGGACAGACAAGTACTCTTTTAACCAATATAAAAATTAAAATAGTACCCTATTTGACATTAAATTGAGTGTTATAATGGCATGAGTGTTTTGTAATAATTTAGACTATAGTGAGAGGTAAAAGATGCTCATTTATATGTACTTTTATTTTAGATTATTATTAATACTATCACATTATATTATTATCTGATAAGGACTTTTTATGACCCATTCAAGTTATATTGCATTTAATACAATTTTTAAATAATATCCACTATACTTTAGTAGCAATATATAGTTGCTGTTAAAACTCTTAAATGTATATTATTATGGTCACCAATTCAAGAATTGAGAAATCAATAGTTTAGCTTAGTTAAATCTTATGAAAAATGAATTTTTTTTAATATTTTATTTTGCACTAATGAAATTTTTTGAATATGATATTGGAAGGTATATTAGTAATGAAAATCGATATAATGTTACATATAGATAGAATTTTTATTAATGTGATATCAATACAGTTGTTATAATAGTAGTAATATTATTATGATATTGATATTCTAAACAGCATATTTAAAAATTATTATAAGAAAAAATAGTATAAATTATTTTTTAATCAGCGGACACGAGTAGAACAAAAATTTTAAAGATGTTAAATTCATTTTTATCTCTCAAAGATGAGATTATTTTATACAACTACTAATTTCTTAATGTGGCAAATATTTCAAATAAGGGACTTAATACCCTCTAGTTGTGTTAATAGAGTCAAGCACCTATAGGCGATCTTTTTGATGAGCATAAACTTTAGTCATAAATATTGACTATAAAGCAGTCATGTACATTTTAGCTTCGATGCGAAGCTGAGAAGGTATTGGTTTTACTAAGATGTGTTTTTTTTTTTTTTTTTTTTTTT